GGCTCATGACAGGCTGTAGCATGCTGCTGAAGATTCTCAGTCATCCATGTCATAGTAATTTCAAAAAAATGTAAAAACTATCCATTGGACTTTGTTTCCACGTTTGAAGACCCAGAGAAAGGTGTCTGGTGTTGCAGGCTAACAAAGAACCCAAAAAGACCCCCATTCCAAAGGGGTGGACCCGTTCATCCGGTTCAGTTTGCAAGTTTTCTAAACTTTCTAAGTTGGCACATCGGTTCATATGCCCTTTTCTAAACTCTAAACAAGGCTTTTTTTTGGTCCACTCTACAAAGCCTTGAACTCAACGCTATTTCTGAAATTTTGAATTGAAAAAGCTTTCTGGATGGGAAGCAAAACGTCTTCAAACTTGGGACAAAGATCGGTGGATTGTTTTTTTTACTGTTTTTGGAATGTAAGGCTGTAGCAAAAACTTCCAAATATTTTTCCACTTACCACTAACCCATCGTATACATGGTACAATACACTCCTAAAGCAGTAACACTGTAGGCTAAATTCCTTTTTTTATTTTTGTCATGGGTCAATGTCAACCTGTCCTTTACTCTGTGTGTGTCAGTGTGTGAGGCGAAGGGTAAATAACTTTGGTAAATGACTTTGACCAAGCGTCAATATGATAACAAGTTGGGACTGAGAATGTGTTGGAGATGCCAACGTGTTTGGAGAAAAGTCAAAGAATCCAGGCACAGAATGTCTGAGGTATAGGAGCGAACTGCTAATCATCGAAGCATACCTACTCCCTACTGCCAAATGCCAGAAAGTCTGCCTACTACATATATGTCAAATCTAAATCCCTTTATTGTCCCACAATGGGGAAATTCACCCTCTGCTTTTTAACTCATCTCCTCTGGGGAGCAGTGGGCTGCCATTGTGTGGTGCCTGGGGAGCAGTGTGGGGTTAAGGGTCTTGCTCATAAACCCGGGTACTTGCAACCCTCTCAGAGCACAATTGCACTGCTCTACCCAATATGCCAACATTCTCCATGTATATCAGCTAACGCTTAAAGAATCATCAGTTGGCACATCAGTTCTGATGCCCTTTCCCAATTTCCAGATGCTGAACCGAGTGGCTGCCTGTCTTCAGCTGCCCCAATCAATGCTCATCCATACCTTGTTCCATAATTTCCCGGTCAAGCCCTGTGTCTTCCCTCATTTCGATGGCATGCAGTTATCTAGAGGATTTATCTTTGATAAAAGTTTTAAATGTTCACGTTTGTGCCTGGTTTTCTTGGGTCCTCAGCCATTCTGCCCATTACACAAGGAGACAATTAGAGAGTTTATTGACATGAATAACAGTGATATAAAATGTTTGTTGCTTAGATGAAGGCAGAAAACATAGAGATGAGCATCGGTGATAATGATGTTATGTGCAGTTTTATGAAAATGGAGATGTCCTCCCCCCTCGGGGCCTGGACACTGGGGGCGGACCTGGAGGATAAAGGAGCTGAACTGAGTAGGAGAGACCAGGACGGTGAAGTCTGTGGCTGAAACTTAACTCAGATGAAGTAGCTTATTAAGGAGGGATTGGATGTTATTGGATGTTGAGGAGGTTTGGAGAGCAGAAGACGTTTGTCAGAAGTGGATCCGGATGAATGTGGCAGTTTGGATTAGCTGGTAAGACTTGGCAGAGTCTTCCAGACTTCCTAGGCGCCATTTCAGTATAGTATGTGTAAGAGTTTAATTCCATATGAGGACATGGAAGTTAACTCGGATTAAAAGAAGACTTTTACATACACCCACAGGTGTTTTTATCTTCATAGGTGATTACAGATAAACATTTATACAGATAAACCTTGTAGTTAACTTAAGCAACCACAAAATACATCATGGATAAAACTGTGTTTTTATGCAATATCTCATGAATCGGCTGCCAGTACCTGTGAAGCTATTTTCAGTTGGGTTCTTTATAGCTCTGCGGCTCTACAGTAGCACAAGGATATTATTTTATATTCTCTTTTACCCACTCCTCTGTTTTATCATCTTCTCTCCCTGTTGATATTTTTGCCTGATCTTTTCTCGATTTTTTTTTCTTTTTGTTTCCGTCTCTGTGCCCGTTGCATTTGAAATAATCCTGAAATAAAATTCCAGTAAAGTCTATTGCATACAGATTAATACCAATGGTTCGTTATAGCAAACTGATTAATGCTCCATATGAAATAAAATATGTTGGTCTTCTTTTTGCATACCTAGAACCAGAACTAAACATGGAGAAGCAGCATTTAGTTCCTATGCTCCACTTATCTGGAACAAACTTCCAGAAAACTGTAAAGTGCGGAAAGCCTGAGTTCCTTTAAATCAAGACTAAAAACACATTTGTTTAGGATTGCCTTCGACTGTTCTAGTTAAACAGTTCAACTAAAACATATTTTCTTTAAATTAATCATTTCAAAAGCATTACCATTAGTATAATAATAAAGAATATACATACAAAATAAAAGATAACTATTCTTTTTGGGGAGCAGAAAGGCAATTCAGGTTTTTGTTCCACCTGTGAACCAAAAGACCTCGCATAGGAACGTGAGGCTCTCTCTAAGAGTGAGAGGAAGGTTGTAGGTGCCACCAGAAGGCATTTAATTTTACGGAGACGTCGGTAGTGCACATGCGCGATCACGACGCTACGGAAGCCGGCAGACCAAACCAGCGCATTCAGCTCGGCAAAGAACTCATGCTCTTCCTCAACACTGAAGTCCTCAGACATTTTTCTTTCGTTGTTTCTTTCTTTGCACAGGTAAACAGCACATTTCTTCTTCTACGCTTGCATTATCGGCAGAGCAGACGCTGAATGCGCACTTTCATCTGGTTTGGTCTGCCGGCTTCCGTAGCGTCGTGATCGCGCATGTGCGCGCTTTCAGGAAATCCTTTACACTACTGTTTATGCTCTAAAAACATTCTAAATGACTTCGTTTCGAGTAAATTCTGGACGCTACCCACTCAGGACACTTGGAATACATTGGACGAGCAGTATGGAGGAATATTTACACGTTTTTTCTGGACTTTTATGGACCCTTCTGCCTCGGTCACCATAGACCTCCATTATTTGAATGTCAGCAGACAGCAAGAAGCCTCCCAGATCTCCAGATGCATTTGAGATATCAAAAAAGTACTCCAGGGTGTTGTTCAGCATGGGGGTGAGTAGAAAATGAAGGCTAATCATGTTTTAGGTGTACTATTCCTTTAAGACCCAAACTAATGCTCAACCAAGAACAAAGGAAACTATGGTGTCTTTTTGGCACTTTGGTGGTGATAGAGCGTCTCTAGCTGTTAGTTTAGAAGAGGAAGAATGAAGCATATGCTGAAAGCACGCTATAGCTTTAAGCATAGCAGTGACTCTGGGATGATGTGGAGCCACTTGTCTTCCTCCGGCACACGAACATTAAATATGTGAAGGACAAAAAGGATTGAACTGAGTATCAGAAAATCCTGGAAGGACAAGTCGCATCACCGGTCTGGAAGCTGTAGTTTGAGCCTCATGGGACTTTCCAACAAAGGTAATGATACCGAGCTTAACTCAAACTCCAGAAGTAGATTAACTGGAGGCCTTTTGCTGGAAGCTGCCATAAATCCCATATGCATCACAATATAATAGCAGCAGGATGTTGTACTAAGTCCAAAGATGCTTGCTTTTTGTTAAAGGGGCTGAATCCTTTTGAGAATACAATAGTCGTTAAAAGTGGTGTTTTGTTTTATATTTCGATCATCCTTGTAATTTAAGCTGGTTTGAGCTTTTTAAACTATTCCTGTTGAAGTTATTGCAAACTCTCATTTTGTGACTTTTATTCATTGCTTTAGATGCATTGAACTCTGCTTTTTAATGATTAGTAGTATAGCAGCAGTAAGATGACTAAACAATAAAATTTTTATATTTATTTCTCAAAATATTTAAGATGCACATGATTCTCCTAAAAGGGTTTTCAATGACCCACTTAAGATAACTGGTCTCCCTACTTCAATTGTAACGGTTGTTAAAATGAAACAGCAGGAATCAAACAGATAAATGGTTGAATGGATATTTTTTGTGTTTTTATATGAAGTTCAGTTTGCAACTTTAAACAGTTTTGATCAAATCTTTCAGGTAAATTTGACGCCACAGACATGAAAACACTGAAGTGTAATCGAATTAAATAAGGAATAAAGGGAAGCAATTGTCTTTCTCGCCATACTCTGCTTCATTAAACCTTATGGATGAATCCTTTAGAAAGCCTGCTAATGTAAAATATTTGGTGCTTTGGAAAATAATAGAAAATAACTCCAAATAGTATTGAATAATCCTCTATGAATGTAATGATAACACGTGTTTGATATTTTCCATGTGGAAAACATCCAGTTTTCATAACAGTGATTACGGGACTCATTATAATGACAGAAGCTAAATGCTGGAAGAGGAGAAGGATCTTCATTTCAACTAAATGTCTTTTTGATATTGGAGCTAATAAAAAAGAAATGGAAAAATAAAAATAAAAATAAAAATAAAGGGATTTTTAAAGATGAGAGCGAGGATAGCCCAGGTTTTAACAGGTTGGACATCAATATAAATCATTTATTATAATAATTTAACATTTAATTTAACTCTTTTTAAAAAGCATCTAAACATCTTTTTATTTGAATGTTTTATTCTATTTTATTAACCTAAAATCTGTATTTTAAACAAGTCATGAAGACTTATAGCTGTTTTTATTTCTTTTTCTATTTTTATTTTTCACTGTAAAATTCTTACTGTTGGGTTTTTATGTAGACAATTTTAAGGGATAGTAGATGAAAAATAGCCTTTTGGTTCATTCTGGTGATTTTGCAGGAATGCTTATTGATGTAGACTCTCTCTGTCAAATAAATAAATAAATCTAAACATTTGTGGAGCAGGTTATTTCACCCTAATGAACCTTTGCACTGCTGCTGTAAAATGTGATTTTCCCCACTTATAGATGATAAAATATTCTGAATCTGATTGATCATTATTACTGGCTTAAAAATCAGTCCAGAAAACAAACATTTTTATAAGGATGTTTTTCAACAATTTTTTATTATTTTTATATCTTGTATTTTTTTTATATTTTTTTTTTTCATCTGCACTGTGCGCATGCTCTTTCCCCTAAACGATATAGGAATACAACATAAAACAAATATCCTCGTCATAGTCTACGTCAAAATAAACAACTAAAATGACAGTCAGAGTGTGTAGAAAATGAGAGACCAACCTACTAAATCGGCATAAATAGGCAGTTTCATGTTGTTGGAACTTTCATTAATTGCTACGTCATCATCTTCATAATAATCATAAATCATAGCCATAACAACAAGAACATTGACGTGAGAATTACAGTAAAAAGTGCACCATCGTAATATTTAACTTAAAAACTATACAGCTGCCAAAGATGAAACTTTTAATGTTAAAATTCTAACAATATAGAAATGTTTCACGATACTTGTTCCACAAAAAAAGGAAGCTACCCTTTAATCTTTTTCTGTCTTGTTGAGGAGGGGGCGCTGGAGGGGTTCAGTTTGGAGGATAAGTGCCATCCTGTTTGTTTTACTGCTGTTTGACTCTTTTTTTCCTGTGGTTTTGACATTTAACAGACCTTCGGTCCTTCCAAATCACCGCCCTCCCTCTTCTGAAGACTCATCTGATGAATCGGGGAGAGAGGTGGCAGTGCACAGGTCTGCCCATCCAGGTTAACCCCCTCAGAGCTCTCTGCCTCTCTCTTTACATTTGTTTGTGTGTTTTCTCACAGCAGTCCTCGCTGACGGGGCCCTGTGAGCCCGCCGTAACCGCGGCCGCCACCGCGCTCGCCCCCTCGCCTCCTTCGCCGCTTCCTCCGCCGCTCCCGGCGCCGGCCTCACGCAGTTCCTTCTCCCTCCTCTCTCGCTCCACCGCCTCCTGTTCGCTCTTGCTGCTGGGGAACTTGTCCTTGTTGTTCTCCTTTTTCCATTTCATCCTGCGGTTCTGGAACCAAATCTTCACCTGGCGCTCTGTTAGCGCCAAGGCGTGCGACACTTCGATGCGCCGCTTTCTGGTTAGATAGGGATTGAAGAGGAACTCTTTCTCCAGCTCCAGGGTCTGGTAGCGGCTGTAGGTCTGCCGGCCTCGCCTTCTGCCAGCAGCTACTGGGTTGGGACACACAAGCACAAACATATGGAGAAAAAATCAATAGCAATAAAACCTGGAATCATTTCAATCTTCATTAAACAATATCACCGCCTGTGGTTCAATCCATGATCACCTTTCACAGAACATTTCTGGGTGAGATTGAGATGATATTGGGTGAAGAGGCACTCATGAGTTCAATAAGTAGGATTTTAATCTAACTAGAAAACTAGAAATGAACTAGAGGTAGATCTGCAGACGCTCACTGTCGTTTATTTGGCAATTTATCACCAACTGCAACAAAGAAACGAATGTCTGCAGCTTCGTCTGTCAAAATAGTATTAGGCAAGTCTAACCAAGGGTGTGGGGTTTGTTTTCTTTTTTTCTTCAGTCTAAAAAATGTGCATAAGCTCCCACACACACGCACCTGGGCATGCAGACACGATGACGCCTAAAAGAGGAAAGTAAGTGAAGACATCTTCTAATGATCCGTGTTCAATAAAAACCGAACAAAGAATAAAAATGAAGATTGGAATTTTTAATTTTGCACATTTCAAAACCACCACGAGCCCATTTAATAATTAACTATACTGCTAATTGATAAAAGGATTGTATGATATTTATTTTCGTATCTGGATTACCTGGGCCATGAAACAGCGGGGTGTTAAATGCGCTGCCTTACAGAGAAAAACAATTTAAATTTAAATAAAAAAAAACGAGTTTGTTCACTTCTATGTTAAAAAAACGGCGTAAAAGTCGTTGATGATTCATGGTTTGTCAAATAAAAAGCAAAAGTCGCAGCATCCAAGTGTCTTAAAAAAGACCTATATAGTGGAAAACATTTAGAATAAAGGGACTATAGTTTTTAAACCTGTTTGCAAAAAGCAAAGCCAGAAATGCGCTTTTTGATGTAAACCTGGAGCTGGAGGATGTGCTCATAGCGCTGCAATCAGATCCAAGTTATGGTTCAAATGTAAAGTAGGCCTAATAGATCGATTATTTTATCCAGTTCTTCCCCCACAATGTTTTGTAGGTTTCTACAGCACCTCTGTCTGTAGGCAGAGGAGAGCTTTTGGTTGCAGAAAGAAAATAAAGGTGGCTTTGTGAACGTGCGCGGACTTGTAGCAGATGTAAATGTTCTGCATGTGGTCGATGAAACTGAGCGGGTTCGGTTTTAATGGAAAAGAAAACAAATCACCGCTTTTCTGTTACATGCAATTACAGAAAGAGAAAATGATTTCTATTTTTTAACACCATTATAAATGGCTTTCAAGAATAAATATTCAACCCTTATTTCAGAAAATGTGTTGCTTTGCCATAAAAAAGTTTTTTTTTTAAATATATTTTACTAGTTTAATAAACGTTAAAGAATGTATAGAGTCGGCTCTTAAAGAGACCTGAGCATTAAGAGTAAATATATATATTTAATACATATTACTTTACTTGGATTTAGTTTTTACATATATATACATACATAGATATACAGAAGAGCTATATGTGTATATATTTTATCTCTTCTTTATTTTTATTATCTGGTGTTGTTGGATGTATATATATATATATATATATATATATATATATATATATATATATATATATATATATATATATATATATATATATATATATATATATATACATATATATATTTACTTTAAGGACTAAGAAGCTGATCCACCAGCAATGAAGAGAAGAAACATCAAGATCAAACACAAAAAATAAAGTGCCCGTCCCGGGCATTCTCCCTTCCTCTCTGTCCCTCTCTCTCTCTCTCTCTCTCTCTCTCTCTCTCTCTCTCTCTCTCTCTCTCTCTCTCTCTCTCTCTCTACACACACACATACACCCCCACCCCCACCAAACATACAGCAAAGCCGAAGAAATATGGGCTCAAAAAAAACAGACTGCTGGGGATGCCAAACCATTGCCTCCTTTCTCACTCCTGTCTGTCCCACACACAAGGGCCTGTACATACATACACTCACAATATATATATATATATATATATATATATATATATATATATATATATATATATATATATATATATATATATATATATATATATATATATATATATATATATATATATATATATATATATATATATATATAGTCATTGTACTAATTACGAAATTAATTGGGTTCCAGAACTGATCTATTGCATTTTTCCTCACTGCTCGGTGATGGTTAGAGGCGAGACTTTGGATCTGATCCTTTAGTGGAACCTCCTCTCCGCACTCATTTCTGTGTTGTTGCTGTTTTTCTTGTATTAAAGTCATAAACCTTTAACTAGTTATATGTTCGCAATCATCACAGATATTCTTTTGGCATGTCTAACCTTCGTTTTTCTTTAGACTGTTTACTTAATGAAATAAACACTTAAGCGCGAACAGAAATGAGCAAGTCATAAAAGTAAAGATGCGTGAAGCGGCGTTTCTGTCTCCTCACCTTGTGGCCTCATCCAGGGGAAGAGTTGTGTCGGTGACGGGCTCTGCTCGGTCGCCTCCGTGTCTTCCGTCCCCAGCGCTGTCGCGCCACCGAGCTTACAGTCGTTATACTGGACCAGGTCGGCGTCTTGGGCCCCAAAGAGCGTCTGTCGTTGCAGGGCGTCATAGCCATAAAAGTTCCCCGGGTCTCCGTGACATGTGACCGCGCACGGACTCTGCTGGTAGGGGTTGCTCGGGAGCGAGGAGGCGCCGTGGTGGTAAAAGTCCTGGATCTGGGGAGTGTGCTGGAAGGTAGCGCCAGATCCCGGTCCGTAGACCACGGTGGGCCGGCTGCCGGCCAGGTCCTGTGCGAAGCCACATTCATAGTAGTTCGGGCGTAACGAATCTCCACTTTTATATTTTGAGAAAAGCGAATTTACAAAATATGAGCTCATCTTTCCTGTTGTGGGAATTTTTTTAAGTTTGCCTTTTGCTCAGAACAGTCAGAGAAGGCTTTCTGGTGTATTTTTCTCTCTTTATTGTTTCCTGCCGCTTCTGTGCTCTGCTGAGAGGCAGTGACACGCCGACAATACACTCCTACCCACACACATATACACACACACACACAGCCCAAGATGGGGGAAATGGAAGCGGGTCTGCCGCCGGGGCTGTGCAGCGTTTCCCTCACAGCCGCAAACTCGAGCTGTTTGCGGCGTTTCTAACGGTAACAAGAGGCGAGCAGAGCGCGCGCAGCATCTGCACGATAATCAGCACGGTTCCATAAGATCTCCGGCGAAGAAGAGGGGAAAAAAGAACAAAGCAGCAGAGGAGGAGGAGGAGGAGAAGGAAGAGAGTCTCCTGCGCATCACAATTCCAGTGCGAAACGCAGGAACCGGGAGCTTGTCGCGCTTTCAGCCGCTTCCCCTGATTTACTCTTTTGCAAATGACTTGTTTCATATTTTCTCACTCTGTTCCTCCCTCTCTCCCCTCTCTCTCTCTCTCTATCGCCCCCCTCTCTCTCCCCACTCCTCTCTCTCTTTCTTTCTCTCTCCCCCCCTCAGCCTTGTCGTGTGTTTTGAGCCATTTATACGTTCGTGTGTCATTTTACAGTTTTCATCCTCTATAATTTTGGTATTTACTTGATCATATTTACTTACTTTAACACTATTTTTGATGTCCTACCCTTCTAACATGAAATAATTGTGTTAAAGTAACTAATATGATTAAGTAACATATTCATATTTTACACAAAAGTAGAGGAGCAATAAAAAAACTTCTAAATTCATAGGTTTTTATTCCCTCTCCTTCACTAATCCACTCTCTTTAATTTCCCTCTTTTAACTTATTGCGCATATCGTCAAATACTCCTTCAAAAACTAACTAAAACATAGACTATAGTGCAGGTGCGTCGCTGGGTTTGTTGTTGGCATCCCTTTATAATTGCCACCCCCCCTGACCCCCCCTCTCCCATTGTGAAACGGGAGCACGATGTTGCAGGAGGCCAAACGTGTCGGCGCGGCCTCCGGATGGAGGAGAGCGAAGGAGTCCTGCCTTCCAATTGGCTGCAGCTTTTTAACAAGATCCTGACTGTAAATAATGGACGTTTTAGAGCCATGCAGCTGTGGGAGCTTCCCTGCTCTTTCCCTTTCCATGACCGCTGCTACTGTTGAGAAAATAAACGAGCTCCAGAGCAGCTCTCTGATACTCGTAGAGACCACTTTTAGAAATATGATCTCCATAAACATGCGAGAAGGACCGGGGAGGATAATAGCCTCGGACAAAGTGGCTGTAAACGGTTTAACAAACTATAAAGCAGTGTAAAGCGGGGTGACACTGTGTTTACCGCGCTCCAATAGAGACTAAATTGGGAGGGAAGGGGATTAAGACGCGCCCTTTAGGCAGCCGGAGCCTTTAAACGCCTTGTCGTTTGCTTTTTGTTTTTGTTTTTTTCTTTCAACATCTCATATTTGCCATATGATCAAATCTATAGAATATAAGGATAGGTGGCAATTTTCTTCCATACTCATTGGAGGAGCTAACTTTGTTTATAAAAACACCTCCAATTCTCTTGCATTGCTATAAACTTTATTTCTGCATCTTTTCCTGTTTGACTCCTGCTTATGAATAATTTTGTTCTCAATATCTGGTTTTATCTCCAACCTGGGCTGCTTTGGGTTTCTAATGTCATTACACCATTGTTTACTCTTTATAACACTCAGACTGGAGAATACAAATAATGCAGACATCTGCGTGGATCGCAGGCCTGCTTCGTTTTGTCAGATGAAATAATTTAAGTTTTCCATTTATTTCCGAGAATATGATCTTATTGGAAGTCTTCTGCGCCGTGCTTTACTGGCGCAATAAGGAGTTGGCTTCTCTGTGTTCTGTATAATGAGATGGGGACTAGGTGCACAATAGTTACTTTGCCCCACACAGTGAATCCCCCGCAGAACGCCTGCTCTTTGCTGATGTGCACCACGCATAGCTCGGGGAGCCCGCTGGATTCTGGGTTAACTCATTATTTTACTAATCGCATCGATGCCTCAACCTTCCTTTTGCTAATCTCTCTGCAGGATAAAGCCTTAAAAATGTTCATCATCTAAAGCTTTTGACTGGATATAAAAAAGGGGGCCTGTGTCCTGCCCTTCCTTGCCACTTTCCGAGTGGAGAAACGCATCCAAATATCATATTTAATATGCATATATGTGCATCATCGTATTTGTATTTACTAAAACATACATATTATCTGAGGCCTCAACGCTTGTGACGCTCTTGCCCATTAGAAACACCCTGGTGAAGCGGGGTGCTGTGCGGCAAAGCTGCAGCAGAAATGCTGGAAGTCTCACGAGCTCTGCTAAAATTAAATGAAATAATATTTATGACAATGTTAAAAAAATTAGAACGATTTTGACAATTTTTTAAAGGAAATCCTGCGCATGTACTTTATGTAGGAATTTCAAAATTAGACCAAGACCAGTTCTATCAATGGAGCAAGATCCCCACCTAGCGGCCGTATGAAGTAAGGGCATGAGAAGTCAAACCTAAACATGTGGCCTCTACTACTAAATAAAAAACCATATGTAAACATGCAAGTAAAATAAATAATTCGTTTTCTTCCTTTTACCACAATAATTAGTGGTTGCTGTAAAAAATAAAAAATAAAAAAAATAACAATATATATATATATATATATATATATATACACTATATTGCCAAAAGTATTTGCTCACCTGCCTTGACTCACATATGAGCTTAAGTGACATCCCGTTCCTAATCCATAGGGTTCAATATGACGTCGGTCCACCCTTTGCAGCTAGAACAGCTTCAACTCTTCTGGGAAGGCTGTCCACAAGGTTTAGGAGTGTGTTTATGGGAATTTTTGACCATTCTTCCAGAAGCGCATTTGTGAGGTCGCACACTGATGTTGGACGAGAAGGCCTGGCTCTCAGTCTCCGCTCTAATTCATCCCAAAGGTGTTCTATCGGGTTGAGGTCAGGACTCTGTGCAGGCCAGTCAAGTTCATCCACACCAGACTCTGTCATCCATGTCTTTATGGACCTTGCTTTGTGCACTGGTGCACAGTCATGTTGGAAGAGGAAGGGGCCAGCTCCAAACTGTTCCCACAAAGTTGGGAGCATGGAATTGTCCAAAATGTCTTGGTATGCTGAAGCATTCAGAGTTCCTTTCACTGGAACTAAGGGGCCAAGCCCAGCTCCTGAAAAACAACCTCACACCATAATCCCCCCTCCACCAAACTTTACACTTGGCACAATGCAGTCAGACAAGTACCGTTCTCCTGGCAACCGCCAAACCCAGACCCGTCCATCAGATTGCCAGATGGAGAAGCGCGATTCGTCACTCCAGAGAACGCGTCTCCACTGCTCTAGAGTCCAGTGGCGGCGTGCTTTACACCACCGCATCCGACGCTTTGCATTGCACTTGGTGATGTATGGCTTGGATGCAGCTGCTCGACCATGGAAACCCATTCCATGAAGCTCTCTGCGCACTGTTCTTGAGCTAATCTGAAGGCCACATGAAGTTTGGAGGTCTGTAGTGATTGACTCTGCAGAAAGTTGGCGACCTCTTCGCACTATGCGCGTCAGCATCCGCTGACCCCGCTCCGTCAGTTTACGTGGCCTACCTCTTCGTGGCTGAGTTGCTGTCGTTCCCAAACACTTCCATTTTCTTATAATACAGCTGACAGTTGACTGTGGAATATTTAGGAGCGAGGAAATTTCACGACTGGATTTGTTGCACAGGTGGCATCCTATCACAGTTCCACGCTGGAATTCACTGAGCTCCTGAGAGCGACCCATTCTTTCACAAATGTTTGTAAAAACAGTCTGCATGCCTAGGTGCTTGAATTTATACACCTGTGGCCATGGAAGTGATTGGAACACCTGATTCCAATAATTTGGATGGGTGAGCAAATACTTTTGGCAATATAGTGTATATATATATATATATATATATATATATATATATATATATATATATATATATATATATATATATATATATACACACACACATATATAGAAAGAGAGAGAAATCCTACAAAAATAAAACAATACTTAATATAAATATAACACCTATATATATATATATATATATATATATATATATATATATATATATATATATATATATATATATACTTAGAAATGTCTTATTCCTGAAGGAAATTAAAGGAAAAATAAATGCTACTGTAATTTTATTTTTTTTTTTACTTTTTTTTTTTAACCAATCGTAGTGGGTGTTATAGTTCAGACAGGAAGCTAAAACATCAACACCTTTTTACATGTGGATCTGACGGTCGAAGGAAATGCAAACCCATTAGATAAAAAATATATATAAAGATTAATCTTTAAAAATATGTTTTACACTATTAAATAATTATTCACACTTAACAAAAAATGAGTAATGATGAAATTAGCAGATCAACTCAGCGTGTGTAAGTTAAAAGGAAATAGTCACTTCTAATAGAAAAAAGTACAAAGAAGCCATTTGTGTGTGTGTGTGTGTTCTTGTATTTAACACACTGTGAGGTTCGTTTTCTGGAAAATATCACGTTGTGGGGACCAACTGCTCTTTGTGGGGCCCAATACATGGAGCCCCTTAAAGAGATTTGCTGTTTTAGGGACAGGGGTCACATTTAGGACTAAGGTGTGAATTGAGTTTAGGTTGGGGTTAGTTATGCATTGGTAATAGTTAGGTTAGAAATGAATGGAAATGGCCCACAAATATAGCGAGGCAAGTGTGTGTGTGAAAGAAGGAGAAGATCAGGCAAATGTTATGTTGTTGTTGTTTTTTCACCCCAGTCATTTTTAACCCCTTCTCTGCTCTAACCCTGACATTAACCAATACCAGTGAATACCTAAACTAAAACTAAACTCAGCTCACACCCTGGTCCAAAAACCAACCACTGACTAAACAGAAGAGAGGCCCAAAAAAATGTCCCCATTTTGGTACAAATGCGCCCTTGTTTGATGGTGAAATCTGCAATCTGGTCCTCATTTTAATGCTGAAACAGTAGAACACACACACACACACACACACACACACACACATACACACATACATACAAGAGGTCAGCTTCCATCATTAAAACACGCAGACAAATAAATCTGATGTTAACATATTTGCACGTTCTTCAAAAATCAAAATGTCTTTGGTGTGTTGACAGTACATGAATGCACCATTTGCAGAGGCAGTTCTAGACAGGGGCCAAAGGGGCCTGTGCCCCTGTAGAACTAGTCCCGGCCCCTTTTATGGCCCCTGTACTGAAAACACACATAGCAAAATTGTTGCAATTAGCAGATGCAATTATAAATAAATAAATACAAATAAAAAATTACTTTTTAGATGTGTTTTTGCATTGTAACTAAATCAATTTCTAATAATGACAGAAGATACTTTTACTGATTAGTACCTTGGACAAATTTTATATTATATTTTGGCTGGACAATTTACTGTAAGGAATAATTATTTAGAAATTGCGAGCTTTAGCTTCACCTGCTGATCAGTTTTTATCCCTTAGATCCAAACCTGGGGTAATACAACCTTTATGGGTCATTTATAGCACTAAACACTCTCTTTCTAGATTATTTGTGTGTTATTCTTTTGTGCAATGCCCCTCCATTCTGCCCCCTGGTAAATTTCATCTAGAACCACCACAACTTATAAATGTGGCACTCTGTGTTGTTCTTATATTTCAGTGGGAGCCGCAATGTCTCACTGTCCTGCTTTGGATCGGATCTGAATGTGCAGCTTCCTTTCAACTCATGTGTTTGGATGTGGAAGTTAATGGCGCCTGCTGTTAGCCTGCAAGAGAGGGAGACAAAAAGAGGTCAAGAGGAGAACACACATGCGCGCGCGCACACCCTGGTAGGTTACCAAACCTACCGAAGCTGAGGGAAGGAGGAAGCAAAGGGAGGATGCTTCTCCTTGTCTTCAGCTGCAGTTATATAGCTCACTCTTTCCTCTCTTGTCACGCATTCATATTTGGCTCCATTTCCTGAACATCCGCGGCTTCCAGTCCTGCAGGGCTCTCTTTATTCCTCTAATCCCTCTCAGTGACTGTCCTGTGCGTCTGTGCCAACCGGTATGTGCTGCAAAGCGCAGCGGAAAACAGAAACTTTCCTCTGCTTCTTTTTATCTTCGATGCTTTTCGTCTCCCTCCTTTATTCCTCACGGCGTGTTTGTTTTACAGCCATTTAGTTCTTAACCTTCAGAAATTTATACGCTATAAACTTTTATTGCCGTCATATTCTTTTATTGCGCCTGACTGCGAACGGAATCCCATCTCTCCCTCTTTCCTCTTGCCTTCTTCTGCTTCTCCGTCTTTGCTCTTTTTACGACAGCCGTGCAGTAGGTTCTCCTCCAGAGGCTCCGCGCCGGGATCCCGCTTCCCTCTCCACGCTACACCCCGCATTCTAACCGTGGGCTGTGAGACACGCAGAGCGTGCATCTTGCTACTGTCGTGCTGCTGATTCTCTGGGTGGAATCGTTATAGGGAGTGTGCAAAACAGCTGGGCTGGGAATAAGAAGAGGATAAGAAGAAGAAAAAGCTGCCAAACATTAATAGACCCGGGGTGGGGGGTAGATCTTTAAAAATATTTCTTCTTATCAAATCCGTATCAGCTTTAAGAAAAAAATAAAAAATAAATAAACAGCCTCGCCCTGATGGCGCCCTCCCGACAGCTTTAAATAGAATCCATGTGCACAATTGGTTTAACTAGAGAAAAAGATGCTGCTTTAGTTATTTATATTTATCTTTTTTTATTTGTTTGTTTTTTTAGAAAACTGATCGACACAATTTCCTGTTAAACAATAAAAGCTGTGAAAGATAGAAAGAGAAATTAACGCATGTTTAAAGTTAAAATGATTCATTTCAAAATACATTTCTTATTTCCATGCAGGCTGCAGAGCTGCTAACTGCAATTACGTCACAATATAAAAAAATATGAATTTACAATTAAATTGTGAACCAAATTTAGGAAAAAGAGGAAGGGAATGCATTATTATTATTTTATTTTATTAGTATTTTTACTTGTATTATTATGATTGTCGTTGTCGTTAATACTAGTGTTACTATTGATAGTCATAGTATTAAGGTTACATCCCCTAAAGCTCTTCATGCTACCGGCTCAGGCCAGCAGCGTGTTTCTCTCTGCTTTGCATTTCATTCATTAGATCGTTCTGCTGCAGCAGCAGCCATTAAGGTTCTGATCAAATCAGGGAAAGGCGCTTTAATCCAGGAAATTAAAGAAGTTTCCTTTTTATAAAAACAATTGTTTTCACTTATGGCACTTTATGTGGATTTAATGGGGATCTATTTATGGGGAGTTTAAATAAAGAATTAGTTTGTTGTTATAACTATTATACAGCTACAGACAATTTCCTCTGGAACCTTGCACATATTTTTTTATCCTTTATTTTTTCTGTCGGGATTAGAGAGTTTCTGCAGCTGAGCTCACTGAGGGCTGCTTAATGACAAACAGCGACTGATTCAGAGAAATAATAAATTAATTTGGAGTTCGGATCAGTTAATAAATGTGACTTTTGTTCGCATCGTGGGGAACATTTAGTTTCAATTAAGGCGTTTTAGTTAAAAATGTTTGTTTTTTCTTTCTCTTTTTTGTATTTAGTAAAAGTCTACATTGATTTAAAATGTCATCCAGATCTGAACAGTAGGCCCTGTTTTCACAAATTCAACAAGAACAGAAGACAGACATGGTTATACTTTAATCAGATATATTAAAACTGTTGCAACTGATAAATAGAATGCTTTAATAGTGAACTTATTTTATTAAATAAATAATTTCATCATCACTATCAGTAACTTTTAAAATTTGGTTCCAATCTGCACTGAAATGAGAATTTCATCAATTACTGGAACCATTTATTTATTTATTTATTTATTTATTTATTTATGTATTTATTTATTTATTTATTTATTTATTTATTTATTTATTTATTTATTTATCTATTTACACTTTTTAAAATATAAACATTGTAGTGATATATTATGCAGTGCTAATTAATGCTAATAAATGTTTTTTTCTCAGAATTTTGTTTTTGTTTTATTGTTTTTGTTTTCAGTTTTGTCATGTTTTAATTATTAACATACACACCCCATCCAAAGATCTTTTACAGAAAAAAATCAATTAAATAATTCAGTGTGTTAATCATTCGCTATTTTAATTACACCTCAATAAAAGTAGATAAAATTAACTAATTTTTTTTCTTAAAATAAGTGCAATTCTCTTGAATTGAGGACTTAACTGAGACACGTTTCCAACTGAACAAGGATTTACATTTAAAATAAGAAAAAACTATTGTAATGTCTTATTTCAAGTGCATTTTATCTGATTATCTGATTTCAAGAGTAAAAAATCTCATTCCATTTTACAAATCATCTTATTTACCTACTCAAATTAAGGTTAAGTAAACTCATTTAAATGTTTTTTTTTTTTTCTAGATCGTTTATGCAATGTATCTCAATCCACGTACAAAATTTTCCTTTAAAATATTTTTGATGCATCAGACCAGCTCTGGTAAACTGGGAAGATAAATCAGTTTGGTTGAGAATTTTACTAATTCAAATCCACTCCTTCCACTTCAGCACGTATGAAACATTTCAAAATTAGAAACAGTCATTAAGAGAAGAACCAAAACAGGACTTTTCTGAACCTCCACGTCCTCTGGATGTTTTCTCCTGAAAATGGGAGAAGAAATAAAGCAGAAACCAAAAACTACACGACTGCCTTTGGTCAGATAAGATGGAGAAGATCTAACGACACATAGTTCCTCTTTTCCATGATGCCTGAAACAAGAACACCACAGATACCATCTAATTTATTTCTAATTTAGAAAAGATTACATTTGGATAGCATGGATCTGGACATGCAGAAACATGGAGCTATTGTAGATTAAATGATTGCCTATTTCACAAATAAAATAAGAAATATGTTGGTCCAACAAGTCCAACTTATTTTACACTTGGGTTTAGAATCTAGATCACAATAAAAAGCTTCTTCCTCTCTTCAGTCTGGATTTTCACATAAAGCTACGTGTGAAATTTAAAGCAGGTAAAAGTAGACTAAGATTTAGTGGCTTCTGCTTTAGGAGGAGGAAGGAAGACTGAATTTGTAGCTTCCAGACCAGACCTTCCACGTGCGCACACGCTCTCCTCTTGCTACATGTAGTGGGAACCATGTGCTTGTGTTCACTCTCATCCACTTTCATTGATTTTCAGTTATTTTTAACCTTTTCTAAACTCTAACCCTGACAATAAACCTAACCATTAACAGTGCATCCATAACCTGAACTTAATTCAAACCTCAGTCCTAATCAGAAAAACCGTAGTATCTGGGAAAAAAATGTCAGCATCTCATTAGGGACTAACCAATCCCAACACATCCATTTTTATGTTACTATAGCTTCCAAAGATCTGATTTAGCGATCCTTTAGAAGCTGCCCTGAGGATCACCCTATTTAAATCCTGCAAACTGCAACAGTTCCTCAGACTGTTTAAGCTCATCTCTTTGCATCTCAATCAGATCCAGGTCTGGGCTTAAACTAAGTCGCTGAATCAAATACCTTCTTTTTTTAGCTATTTGGGAAAATTGGGATTTTTTAACAGAGAGCATAGTTCATGGTTCCATGAATCAGAAGGTTGCATGAATCACAAAGCAGAATTACAACCTTAACTGTCTCAAAATCCCGTGTTTATGTTTAGTTTGAACTTAATTTAACATCATGCACACCTTTTGAAAACATCCTATTTTGTTTAGGCAGTACTTAGCCTGCTTTTAAAAATCATATGAGGTCTTTAAAATGTTTTTCATGTTAAATACATGGCGAGCTGTACTTGTTTTGGTTCCAACCTTGAAAATTTCCAACAATTCAAACGCTGCAAAATATTTAAATCTATATAAGTCTTTTTTTCTTACAATAAGTATATTTTTTCTTGAATTGAGGAGAAAAGTTAGACATTTTTCCAATGGAACAAGACAATTTACATTTAATATAAGAAAAAAACAATTGCTTTATCTTATTTCAAGTGCATATTATCTAATTATCTTTATTAAGGGTGAAAATAATCACCCCATTGGCAAATTAACTGTAAAGTAGATAACAAATTAAAGGTAAATATGCTTAATTTAAGAAATGTTTTCTTGTTTCCAGATAATTTTGTCTTGAAATAAGTGTATTCACTCTTCTTTTTAACATGTAGGAATGATCTGCCAGAGTCATCAACATTTATGTTCCTAAAACGAGCCCTTGGAATAATTTTGGATGACCACGCCGTAAATGATCGCCACTTTTCTCTATTTTTGAGCGGCTCCAGCTACGTTTCTCTGGTTCCAGAGGGTTTTTTTTCAAACGGCTGTTATACTGATGAATGTCAACGACTTTGTTTCTCATCTGTTCTCAGATGTGTTTGCGCTGAGCCATGAAATTTTATTCTGCTAAAGTAGGAAAAAAATGTCAGACCAATTCAGTTTCATTCGTTTTCCATGCAAAAAAAACGGGTTAACTAATTCATCCGTTTTTCTTTCTTATATCAGCTTTGCTTTAAAAGGCAGATTTGGAACACATACGCAAACACACACCCCTGCGAACTTACTTTGACCTATTAGGAAAAGGAAGTAAGCCAGAGAACTGGATGAGCCAGCATGTGTTTAAAATATGTGTCTCTTTAAGAGACTGAAGCTTAAAGGAAGAGAGTGGCTGTTTGGCCGCGACACCAAAAGACCATCATAAACCAATAAACACCCCCTCACCCAGAGTTGGGGGAGAGGGCATGCAGCTTTTGTCTCTCCATGGGAGAGCAGGCTGTGGATGGAGGGCTGGGGAGCAGGGCCTTCTGAATTTCATGAATCTTTAACCCTGCAGGCTACTTCAGGAAACTGTATCATATTTCATGGGCTGCAGTTCCGGAAATCACAACAACGAAGCTACAACTGATGAAATCTGCATATTTGTTATCAATGAGAGTTTTGCATTAAAACATCTTATAATAACGTCGACCGATTACTCTAGTTGTTTAATCTAACGTAAAGATTTAATAGGATGCTGCAAATCCCCAACAAAACTGAAACAAAATCAGATTTAGCTGTTTATATGACCAGATTAATGCAGGGAAGGTTAGTTTATTTCTACATAACAATCCAGTACAAAGACAATTCAAAGTGCTTCACATCAATCAGAAAATAAAATGGAAAAATAAAAGCAGAATAAAAGCAAGAAAAGATAAAAACAGGTAGTAAAGATGGTAGTAAAGCTAATCAAACAGTTGGACCACAACCTTAAACTAATACCTCAGTTAGCAGTTTAACTCCAACAGTCGAATGAAGCTCTAAACTAACGGGTTTTTAACTTTGACTTGAAAGAACTCAGGCTTTTAGCTCTTTTCCAGTCTGCTGCAGTGTGTTCCAGATCAGTGGAGCATAGATGCTGCTTCTCCATGTTTGGTTCTAGTTCTGAAGTGGCTGGAACTAGAAGACCTGAGTGATCTGGGAGGTAGATCCACTGACAACAGATCTGTTATGGGTTGAGGAGCTGATCTATTCATTGATTTCTAGACTAA